TTACAAACCACCACTGTGCACGTAATTAAACTCACAAAAACTGTTAAACTAAAATGGTAAAAAATTACGCACAAAAGTACTCGATATGGCGTAATAGGTGTAACCACATGCAATATTATGTTTCAGTCACCCCGAGCTCTCTGGTTGACTCTCGAGCCACTCCATTACATCCAGCCATCTCTCGGGATCCAACTGCATGGGATCGAAGGTGGAAACATCTTCAGGACTAATTGCAGCACCTTGAATTTCAGCTTTTGATTTCAGTGTCCTATCATTGTGGACCTTCTGATGCCTGTTCATGGTTGATGAGTGTGCAAATGCCTTCCCACACACAGGGCACAGGAATGGCTTCTCGCCCGTGTGTGTTTTCTGATGGTCTTGAAGAGTTGACGAGTGTGCAAATGTCTTCCCACACACAGGGCACCGGAATGGCTTCTCGCCCGTGTGTGTTTTCCGATGACTCTGAAGAGTTGATGACTGTGCAAATGCCTTCCCACACACAGGGCACAGGAATGGCTTCTCGCCCGTGTGTGTTCTCTGATGACTCTGAAGATGTGATGACTGTGCAAATTTCTTCCCACACACAGGACACAGGAATGGCTTCTCGCCCGTGTGTGTTTTCTGATGGTCTTGAAGATGTGATGACTTTGCAAAAGTCTTACCACACACAGGGCACAGGAATGGCTTCTCTCCCGTGTGTGATTTCTGATGGTCTTGAAGAGTTGACGAGTGTGCAAATGCCTTCCCACACACATGGCACAGGAATGGCTTGTCGCCAGTGTGCGTTCTCTGATGACTCTGAAGATGTGATGACCGTGCAAATGTCTTCCCACACACAGGGCACAGGAATGGCTTCTCGCCCGTGTGTGTTCTCTGTGTGACTCTGAAGATGGGATGAGTGTGCAAATGTCTTCCCGCACACAGAGCACAGGAACGGCTTCTCGCCCGTGTGTGTTCTCTGGTGACTCTGAAGATGTGATGAGTGTGCAAATGTCTTCCCGCACACAGAGCACAGGAACGGCTTCTCGCCCGTGTGTGTTCTCTGGTGTCTCTGAAGATGTGATGGCCGTGAAAAGGACTTCCCACACACAGAGCAATTGAATGGCTTCTTGCCTCCGTGTGCGTGGGGCTGTGGAGAGCGTCTCTGCTCCATGTGAGCGTAGTAACAGCAGCGGTGTTATCGAGGCAAAAGTACGCTATCGGCCGCAAGGATGTTTAGCGTTGAGTTTTGGATTTTGTTAACTGCTAAAACAAGAACGACACTCGCGTCTAACCGAGACGCAAAAAAAATCCCGCTAATTTAACGACGAAAACGTTTAAGAGTTCATCCGCGAAAATAGACACTTACTTGGAGATTGACGGTATATCTATGTCTGGAACCCGTCTGAAGATGTCGCCACGAACTCTACCGACGCAAAGTCGCCTAACTGTCGACACAGCAATTGTGCTCGCCAGGCTGCGTTGTCTCGCGGTTGAAGGGCGAACAGCAGAGCGACGAGTCGAGCGTCCAACCTCATCAAGTTCCCTCTCGAAATGGCATTGAGCTCTGCTTCTGAGCTGCCTTATAACTCCCCCCCTAGGATCAAATCCTTTGTCTTTCAGGATATTTGCATTCGATTGTTAATTTTGGAAGGCACAATCCGCATGTAGATTAACATACCGAAGGGTAATGTGTCCATTGTGCTTCATGCATGAATATGTAAGTGCATCTCAGTGTGTAATTGTGCGCTTATTTTGAATAAATGGAAAAACTTTGTCCTCGATTTAAAGTGAATGCAGAGAAATTAGCATGTAACTTTAGAAAAGGAAGAGAGCGGCCTTCTCGACGAGGGAGTGAAACCCAATAGGTAATATTCTTTTACAGCGTTACAATGGATAGGTTGTAGTTCATAGGTTATAATATTATGTTTCACTATGATAGAGCTTAACATGTGAGAGTCTACAATATCAGAGTTGATCAAATGCGACGATCAAGGGCCTCAATCGGGTGAGTTTGATCAGAGGCTTTAATCAAAGGCGTCATCCCATCACGGAACACCACCTCCCTGCGTATATAACAGCAACAGAAGCAACTACAGCAGCAACAACAGCAGCGACAACAACAGCAGCAACATCACATTTCGAGGGCGACGCAGCTACTTCCGATTCTGCTGCCCAGCTGTTTGCAGTCGGGACCTGCTCTCGCAGGACCCCACACGTCTTTGGAAATGATTGCGATGATCATGTCTGAGCTGAGAATTAAGTCACTCAAGATGACTTTGTTTAACCATAACTTTCGGTAGGTAAGTGTCATCGGGGCTCTGTGAATACTCGCATTCCTTTATGACCGACAATTGTATTAATTTTGGTTGATCGAGTAGAACAAGGCACGTGCCACGTCCAGACGAATTATTATCAACAATAGTGGCCTAAAATATAATGCTAAAATAAACGTTAACACTGGATGCAACGTGCACCTATTAATCCCTGCCTCGTATTTACGACTAGCGATTGTACTTGCACATAACATACATTCAATCACAGCAAAATGCTCATACGACCATATTGTTATTCTAAGAATTGTAATGCGATGCTAACCCTGCACCCCCCACAGTTCGCATATCTGACCACCGGTTCGCATGTCCAAATGCCATAGATACATATTACATGCATACATACATACGAGCACAGTTCGCTTGCACGTACACTACACATACATATGCGCAGAGTGTGATTCTAATACGATCACATTGTAATTCTAATACTTGTAATGAGATTATAATACCGTACCTCTGTTTTTGGTGTTATACATAATTTAACTAATTTATAGTATTTTAATGTTTCGTGTTATCGTTTATAGTGTTACATTTCACGTGTCATAGCGTACAGGATTCCCTTGTATACTTGATGATATAGGGACCGTAACGTTGTGAATCGATTTATAAAAAGGACCTTCCCCTCCTGAACCACACATGTTAATGATAAGACAGCCAACATGATGCCTGTTAAGGTCAGACTTGTGTGACGGAGATGCTCCACCTGAAACTCGGCTCCACACGTTTTTGCTATTAACATTCAAAAATAAAAACGGACAAGCAGTTGCTGAAAATAATGTTTTATTAATCTGCAGGAACATTTACAGAACTACAACTCGTATCGAAAGTTTATGATGTCCTATGTTCAAACAGTTACAGTACAATCTTGATTTGAAGCTTTTGTGACTGCAGGAATCCATACTTTTGGTTCTTTCGTTAAAGTCACGTAGGTAGAAAAATAATAGGTCACATTATTGATCTATAATTATCTATTATTTTGTCTACCTATATGACGTTACCGAAAGAACCAAAGAGTATAGCTACAGTATATTGCAAACCATGTCACTTCCAGGAATACCAAACCAAAGTATAATTCGCCATTGATCTCCTTATTAGTTCACAACATTTGTTCACTTTGCGTCTGTGTTTAAGTCAAAGCCAAACATGCAACGAACGTGTCATCAATGTACATCCTGAAATCAGTTATCTAAAGTCGCTTATTACCAACGAAGGGTAATGTGCCCATTGTGCTTCATGCGTGAATATGTAAGTGCATCTCAGTGTGTAATTGTGCGCTTATTTTGAATAAATGGGTTTAGCGCTGGAAAACCACGATCCCCATGCCCTCCATTGTCCTCGATTTTAAGTGAATGCAGCCCCGTGGCGTTGCCAAAAACCGCCAAGCTTCTGGAGTGAACGCGCACAGACGCGTCGTGACCACACTTGCAATACAATCACTCTAACATCAGTAACCAAAATCCGATCTGGTACATGGTCTCCGCTTGCTCTGGTTTGTATCTTCATAACTCCAGAGACAAACAGCGAGGCATGGTTTGGCCAGCCACCACCTCGTTTGCCAAAGCGACTTTAATAGCTGCTCTCAAACAACACTATCACCAATGGTGGTGTACAAGCTAGGGTGTTAAGCGGACAATCAGTCGATTTGGTCAAGGCGTATGGGAAAATACACACCTCTTTATTATCCCATAAATACAGCATACAGCAGCGGGATGGCTGCCTTGTTGGGGAGATGTAGCTTGGGTAAGGTGCTGTCACTGGAGTTAGGCGATGTGACTGGGTTATCACACGGATTCCGAAAGGCATCGGAGACGATACGATCCACTGCGCTCCATCTCCCCACATGGACAACGACATTCTAGTTTAAAAAAAAGGACATTGATACGACACATTCAGTGGACAGTGTGATTCTAATACGACTAGCGGGATTCGAATAATTGTAATTCGATTCTAATCCTGCACATCCTACCCCTGGTTCGCATATTCACTTATCATACGTACGACCACAGTGTGAGAGATTAGCATGATGTTAATGTTAGAAATAAGCATGTAACCGTAGAAAAGGACGATGAAGTGCAACCCAACGGGTGCAATCCAAAGGGCATGAGAGCATGATTTATAATATTATATGTTTGAGTTTTACATGTGAGAGTTTACAATCTCAGAGTTGATCAAATGCGCCGATCAAAGGCGTCAATCGGGTGCGATTGATCAAAGTCTTTAATCAAAGGCGTCATCCCATCACGGAGCACCACCTCCCTGCGTATATAACTTCAGAAGAAGCAACAACAGCAGCAACATCACATTTCGAGGGCGACGCTGCTACTTCTGATTCTGCTGCTTCTGCTGCCCGGCTATTTGTAGCCGGGCACTGCTCTCGCGGGACCGCACACGTCTTTGGAAATGATTGCGATGATCATGTCTGAACTGAGAATTAAGTGACTAAATATTACTTTGTTTAACCATAACTGTACGTAGGTTAGTGTCATCATGGCTCAGCGAATACTACTCATGAATGAACTCACATTGTTTAATGACATAAATTGTAATCATTTTGGCTGCCCGTGTAGGACAAGTCACCTTCCTTGTCTAGACGCATTCTAAACACAATACTGTACTTAAATGTTGCTAAAATAACGTCTACACCCGATTCAACATGCAGTTCCACCTCGGCCATGAGCAACCCACAGCACGCGCAGAGGGAGGAGACCACGAGGGAGACGGCCTCAACTTGAAGAGAAAGTTGACAAACTCACGGATGCCATCACCCAGCTGCTGCAACGCCTGTCGGATGAGACGCTGCGTCCCGCGGCACCAACCAGGCGAGTAAAGGAAGAGCTGAGCCCGAATCGGAAGCCGCCACCCGAACATCAGCAGCAGTAGATAGCGTGATTCTAATAGGACCACGTTGTTATTATAATAATTTTAATGCGATCAAAACGCGCACCTCCCAGGTTGCATTTACGACTCACGATGTGCATCTACATATAACATACATTCTAGCTCAGTGTAATTCTAATACGACCAGAGTGTTATTCTAATCATTTTAATCCGATCCTAATCCACCAGTTCGCATATCCGACCCCCGGTTCGCATGTCCAACGGACATACATATTACATACATACGACCATAGTATGTATATAATATGCATACATATGTGCAGTGTGATTCTATTACGATCACATTGTGATTATAATACTTCTAATGATATTCTAATATTGATTTGAAGCTTTCGTGACTGCAGGAATTAATACTCGTTGGTTCTTTCGGTAAAGTCACGTAGGTAGAACTAAAACAAAGTAAATCACGTTTCGGACGAAACACAAGCGCCCGTCTTCAGGTGAGAATCGCGATATCCGCGATGTCTGCTGCGAGCAGCACGATGTCTGCTGCAGACATCGTTTCGGGCGCTTGTGTTGCGTCCGAAACGTCGTTATTTATTTTGTTTTATTTATACCTACGTGACTTTACCGAAAGAACCAGAGTATAGATATTGTAATACTGTCCCTCCGTTTACGGTATTATAAATTATATAAAAAAACTAGTTTATATTCGTTTAATGTTTAATGATATCTTTTAAGCGTTACAGTTTACATGTTTTAGAGTACAAGTGATCTCCAGTATACTTCGGAATTAGGGAACGGAACGTTGCTAAACTATTTATAACGGGGACCTTTCCCCTCTAGGAACACATGTTGATGGTGGAGACAGCCAAGACGTTGCCGGTTAAGGTCAGACTTGTGTTGCTGCTGCAGTTGCTGCTGCTGCAGTTGCTGCTGCTGCAGTTGCTGCTGCTGCAGTTGCTGCTGCTGCAGTTGCTGATGATAGGAAGCTGAAATCAAAAGGTGAAATTCAAGGTGCTGCAATGATTCCTGAAGATAATTCCACCTTTGATCCCATGCAGTTGTATCCTGAAAGATGGCTGGATGTAATGGAGTGGCTCGAGGATCAAACCGAGAGCGAGGGTTGTTTACTTATTAAGCCGGATTGAGAAACTTTGTGTGTAATTCTGACCTTTTAGTTTTACAGTTCGTGCAGGTGGTGATTTTTGATGTTGTCGGATTACTTGGTGAAGTGGTGTGATGAGCAGTGGTTGTGAGATGGTTCAATTCCGGACAATATTGTAGTGTTTATGTCTTCCTGTTGATCTAAAGTTGGAATGCATCTGGAGTTATATCTTTACTCAACAATTAAAACGTTTTTTTAAAGTATAAAGCTTTTTTTGGTTGGTAATAATCGACTTTAGGATGTACATTGATGACGCGTTCGTTGGATATTTGGCCTTGACTTCAACATAGACGCACAGTGAACAAATGTGGTGAACTAATAAGGAAATCATGGGGAATGATACTTTAACGCTTTGGTATTCCTGGAACGGATATGGTTTGCATTGTACTGTAACTGTTTGAACATAATACATATTCGGTTGGAGTTTTAACGTAAAAATGATTGCAGATTAAAAAAAACGTATTTTAACAAATGTTTGTCCGTTTATTTATTTTACAATGTTCATAGCAAAAACGTGTTTTAAACGAGTTTCAGTTGGAGGATCTTCGTCACACAAATCTGTCCTTAACCGGCAGTGTCTTGGCTGTCTCTCCATTAACATGTGTCCTTCAAGGGGAAAGTCTCCATTATAAATGTATTCGCAACGTTACGGTCTCTAATCATCAAGTATGACATGTGAACTGTAACACTATCAACGATAACAAAAATAGTTAAAATACTATCATCTATTAACTAGTTTCATCATTTATAACACCAAAACAGAGGTACGGTATTATTAGTTTTGAACAAAATAAACGGAGGTTCGTGATTATAATCGCATAATAATAATTATAATCGCACTGTGATAATGTTAGAATCACACTGTGCCCATATGCATGTTAAGTGATTGCGAACCGGGGGTAGGATTTGCAAGATTTGAATCTCATTACAATTATTAAAATCCCACTGTAGTCGTATTAGAATCAAACTGTCCACTGTTGGATGAATGTCATGTTAATTTAATCGAATAGCTATATACGGTATGTAAACAGATAAAGTGTATAACAATCACATTATAACATAATTACATTTCAAGTGATTTGAAAAACATACGTTCATTTAAAAAAAATGAGAATTTCGTGGACCTTGTGGGGAGATGGAGCACAGTGGATCGGATCGTCTCCGCTGCTGTCGACGGGGCCAAGCAGCGAATGTTTAACTCCAGTCACAGGGCCTTACCCAAACTACATCTCCCCCACAAGGCAGCCTTCCCTCTGCTGTGTATTTTAGCCGTATGTTTGAGGACGATATTGAAGATAACAATTCGTCAAGAAAAGGCATGATTACAATGTCTTTCATAAAGGAGTATGAGTTCATTCATGAGTAGCATTCGCTAAGCCCAGATGGCACTAACCTGCACTCAGTTTTGTTGCAACAAAGTCATTGCAATTATTTCCAAATCCGTGTGGGGTTCCACGAGGACAGGGCACGGCCAAAAACTCACACTGTAAGCTCTAACATTATAAACTCTAACAATATTACTTTTATAGCTATACATTGTAACGCTATAACTATACCACTGTAAACTACATTTATAGTAAAATCTAATGTTGTGAACTCGAACATTAAAACCTATGAGCTCGACATTATAACACAAAAAATAACATTATAAACTAGTGTTATAGATTAGAATACCATACATTGAAGTGAGAGAAATCGCATTCGAATTATTAGAATCACTCCGTAGTCCTCTTAGAATCATACTTTGCTCGTAAGTATGTTACATGTCTGTATGTAATATGTCTGTATGTAATATGTATGTATGTAACATGTCTGTATGTAATATGTATGTATGTAATATGTATGTATGTAACCTGTATGTATGTAATATGTATGTATGTATGTATTATGTCTGTATGTAATATGTATGTATGTAATATGGACGTGCGAACCAAGGGTGGGATCTGTGAAACGGAAGGTGCAGGATCAGGATCTGATTACGTTTTTTGTCGCACCAAAATTACACTGCTCAAATCTACGTTATATGAAAATACCCATCAGAAGACCAAAATGTGGCCTGCGAGGTGCCAGGTTTAGAATCGCATAAAATTATTAGAATCACACCATCATCGTATTAGAATCAAGTTGCCCACTGATTCATGAATGTTCTATCTCAATGGCATCGAATAGCAATACACAAGTATGGAAATGTATAAATAATTGAACAAACCCACTATGAGCTCGTGCGATTATGAATCGTTACAATTGTAACGACTCCAGACTCTGTAGACTGTAGAGGGTTATTTTATTTAGCCTGTAACACTGCTAACGACACCGGAATCACAATATAGCAACGACAACGACGAGACAGCAACAAGCCACGACCCGATATTCCACCAAAACAGCCCCGGACCTCGTTCCTCCCCCTCTCTTATTCTCGGTGTGAATCTACCACCACCCTTTGTCCCGCCTTCCCTTCTTGAACTCTCTCTATCCTATTGTCACCGCTTGTCCCTTAGTAGATGCACTGTCTTCACATCAGCAATATGTTTTAGAAGCCAAGTGCATCAGGGCAGCAGCTGTAGCAAAATTCCCCGACGCCCAACAATCACAATCTTAACGGGCAACTGCAAGGGGTACGCGGTGTGACCACACTCACTCGACAACATCAACAAACCAACACAATAACCACAACAATAAATATCAAACGCTTCCACATTGTGAAAGAGAACCCTTCCCATCGTTCCTGGGTTGGGAGTGGAGCCTACTAACACAACCTTGAGCATTTTGACCGGGTTCTCGACGCCAGTCCCTCGCCCATCATGGAATATTGTGCCTTTCAGGCACCGATCCCTCACACGTGGCGGATCCTTGAGGCACCCCGGGCCTCTGGGGCTCGGAAACTGTGAGCGGCACAACACATTTCCTTTGGAGTACGGTTTCCGTTGCCGAGAGCCCCACCACGTCGGACACACCAGACTTGGGCTGTACAGGACATGGGGATGAGCTGTCTGGGTGGGGACGGACATAAGTCTTGAGGCGCGATGGGTGGACGAACCAACTGCAACGCCCTATCTGTATTCGTTACACACTGCAGCCGTTTCACCTCTATGACGTCAGCTGTATCACTATAGACAATAACACTCAACATTAAACGACTATAAACTGGTTTCCTAATTCATTACACCATAAACTGAGGTACGGTATTCAAATCTAATTAGAAGTATTATAATAGCACTCTGCTCAAATGTATGTAAAGCGAACGTTCCATCGAACCAGGGGTTGGATATGCAAACTGGGGTGGGGTGCAGGGTTAGAATCGAATTCAAATTCCGAGAATAACAATATTGTCGTATTCGCATTTTACTGTGCTTGACTGCTGTATGTTAAGTGTAAATGCAAATTGTTAGTCATAAATGCGAGGCAGAGGTTAAGAGGTGCATGTTTTTTCCAGTGTTAACGTTTATTTTAGCATCATATTTAAGGACAATATTGGAAATAAAAGTTCGTCTGGACATGGCACGTGCCTTGTTCGTCTCGATCAACCAAAATTAGTAGAATGTCGGTCATAAAGGAGTGCGAGTTCTTTCATGAATAGTATTCGCTGAGCCCCTAGATACTAACCTACACACAGTTATTGTTAAACAAAGTAACGTTTAGTCACTTAATTCTCAGCTCAGACATTATCATCGCATTCATTTCCAAAGATGTGTGGGGTCCCGCGAGAGCGGGGCCTGGCTACAAATAGCCGAGCAGCAGAAACAGCAGAATCAGAAGTAGTTGCGTAGCCCTCAAAATGTGTTGTTTCTGCTGTTATTGTTGCTGCTGTAGTTACTTCTGTTGCTGTTATGTATTGGGTGGTGGCTCATTTACTCATCACCACCCATAATCATCAGCATCAATACCCATTATCATCACCAATCATCATTATCACTATCAACTCACCATCACCAACCATCGTCACCACCACCACCCAACCATCACAACCAACATTCATCATAACCACCACCAATCATCCATCATCATCAACACCCATAATCACAACAACCCATCATCATCACCACCCATAACCATCACCACCCATCGATGACACTAACCTACCTAATGTTATGGTTAAACAAAGTAATCTTGAGTGACCTAATTCTCAGCTCAGACATGATCATCGCAATCATTTCCAAAGACGTGTGGGGTCCTGCGAGAGCAGGTCCCGACTACAAACACCTGGGCAGCAGAATCGGAAGTAGCTGCGTTGCCCTCGAAATGTGATGTTGCTGCTGTTGTTGTCGCTGCTGCTGTTGTTGCTGCTGTAGTTGTTTCTGTTGCTGCAATAAACGCAGGGAGGTGGTGTTCCGTGATGGGATGACGACTTTGATTAAAACCTCTGATCAAACTCACCCGATTGACGCCCTTGATCGTCGCATTTTATCAACTCTGATATTGTAGACTCTCACATGTTAAGCTCTATCATAGTGAAACATAATATTATAACCTATGAACTACAACCTATCCATTGTAACGCTGTAAAAGAATATTACCTATTGGGTTTCACTCCCTCGTCGAGAAGGCCGCTCTCTTCCTTTTCTAAAGTTACATGCTAATTTCTCTGGATTCACTTTAAATCGAGGACAAAGTTTTTCCATTAATTCAAAATAAGCGCACAATTACACACTGAGATGCACTTACATATTCATGCATGAAGTACAATGGACACATTACTCTTCGGTATGTTAATAGACATGCGGATTGTACCTTCCAAAATTAACAATCGAATGCAAATATCCTGAAAGACAAAGGATTGGATCCTAGGGGGGGAGTTATAAGGCGGCTCAGAAGCAGAGCTCAATGCCATTTCGAGAGGGAACTTGATGAGGTTGGACGCTCGACTCGTCGCTCTGCTGATCGCCCTTCAACCGCGAGACAACGCAGCCTGGCGAGCACAATTGCTGTGTCGACATTTAGGCGACTTTGCGTCGGGAGAGTTCGTGGCGACATCTTCAGACGGGTTCCAGACATCGATATACCGTGAATCTCCAAGTAAGTGTCTATTTTCGCGGATAAACTCTTAAACGTGTTCGTCGTTAAATTAGCGGGATTTTTTTGCGTCTCGGTTAGACGCGAGTGTCGTTCTTGTTTTAGCAGTTAACAAAATCCAAAACTCGACGCTAAACATCCTTGCGGCCGATAGCGTACTTTTGACTCGATAACACCGCTGCTGTTACTAAGCTCACATGGAGCAGAGACGCTCTCCACAGCCCCACGCACACGGAGACAAGAAGCCATTCAATTGCTCTGTGTGTGGGAAGGCATTTGCACAATCGTCAACTCTTCAAACTCATCAGAGAACGCACACGGGCGAGAAGCCATTCCTGTGTCCTGTGTGTGGGAAGGCATTTGCACGGTCATCAACTCTTCAAACTCATCAGAGAATGCACACGGGCGAGAAGCCATTCCTGTGCCCTGTGTGTGGGAAGGCATTTGCAGACTCATCAACTCTTCATAGTCATCAGAGAACACACACGGGCGAGAAGCCATTCCTGTGCCCTGTGTGTGGGAAGGCATTTGCAGACTCATCAACTCTTAATAGTCATCAGAGAACACACACGGGCGAGAAGCCATTCCTGTGCCCTGTGTGTGGGAAGACATTTGCAAAGTCATCAAATCTTCATAGTCATCAGAGAACACACACGGGCGAGAAGCCATTCCTGTGCCCTGTGTGTGGGAAGGCATTTGCAGACTCATCAACTCTTCATAGTCATCAGAGAACACACACGGGCGAGAAGCCATTCCTGTGCCCGGTGTGTGGGAAGACATTTTCCAAGTCATCAAATCTTCATAGTCATCAGAGAACACACACGGGCGAGAAGCCATTCCTGTGCCCTGTGTGTGGGAAGACATTTGCAGACTCATCAACCAGGAACAGGCATCAGAAGGTCCACAATGATAGGAAACTGAAATCAAAAGCTGAAATTCAAGGTGCTGCAATGAGTTCTAAAGAAGTTTCCACCTTCGATCCCATGCAGTTGGATCCCGAGAGATGGCTGGATGTAATGGAGTGGCTCGAGAGTCAACCAGAGAGCTCGGAGTGACTGAAAAAAATTACGTCATGTGGTTATACCTTTTAATCCGTATCGAGTACTTTTGTGTGTAATTTTGACGATTTTTGTTTTACAGTTTTTGTGAGTTTAATGACGTGCCCAGTGGTGGTTTGTAATGTTATCGGATTACTTGCCGAAGTGGTGTGATGAGTACTGGTTGTGAGAGGGTTCATTTGTAGTCGTTAAGTGTTCCTGTTGAGCTAAAGTTGGAAAGCCTCTGTAATTAGATCTTTTCTCAACATTTTAAAAGGATTTTTTTCAAGTATATGGCTTTTTTTGGTTGGTATTCATCGACTCTCATAACCGATTCCAGGATGTACATTGATGACACGTTCGTTGGATATATGGCCTTGACTTCAACATAGACGCACAGTGAACAAATGTGGTGAACTAATAAGGAAATCATGGGGAATGATACTTTAACGCTTTGGTATTCCTGGAACGGAAACGGTTTGCATTGTACTGGAAATGTGTGAACATAGGACATAATAAATATTCCCTTCGAGTTTTGACGTAAAAATGATTGCAGATGAATAAAAACGTATTTTTAACAAATGTTTGTCCGTTCTTTATTTTATAATGTTCCTAGCAAAAACATGTTAAGATAATTTCAGGTGGAGGATCTCCGTCACACAAGTGTGCCCTTAACCGGCAGCATCTTAGCTGTCTACCCTATTAACACGTGTTCCTTGAGGGGAAAGGCCCCCGTAGTTAATCGTTCATCAACGTACCAGTCCCAAATCCCGAAGTATGTCGGGGATAAACTGTACTCTATAACATGTAAACTGTTATACTATACACGATAACACTAAACATTAAACAATTATAAACTAGTGTTTTAAATTATAACCATATAAACGTAGGTAAGGTATTATAATATCATCAGAAGCATTATAATCACTTGGTTCATCAAGGACTGAATGCTGGGGTACCCCCCCCCTGGTGAGACACTGCTTAACCAATACATACTTCACCTGGAATGGAACCTTCTACAAGCAAATTGAGGGCACCCCAATGGGCTCCCCCCTATCTCCGGTTGTAGCCAACATCTTCATGGAGAAATTTGAGACGGACGCCATCCAGACTGCCACTCTACGCCCGACCTTATGGAAGAGGTACGTAGACGACACTTTTGTCATCTGGCCACATGGCCGGCCTGCTCTAGACCAATTTCTCGACCACATCAATTCCATACACCCAGCCATCAGATTCACCATGGAAGTCGAAAATGATGGCAAGCTACCCTTTTTGGATGTCCTAATCAAAAGGAGACCTGATGGTTCAATGAACCACTCTGTCTACAGGAAAGCCACCCACACGGATGCTTATCTAAAACCGGATTCCCACCACCATCCATCCCAGAAGAATTCCCTCATCAAGACTCTATATCATAGAGCCCAATGCATCTCCGACCATGAACACATTTCCAGTGAACTCAAACACGTACGCCAAGCTCTTAAGGCTAATGGTTACTCCGACTACACAATCCGCAAAGCCATCACTCCAACCATCAAGAAGGATCCTGTTGAGGAGCCTTTCAAGACCATCACCTTACCCTACATTGCTGGGGTCACAAAAAAGATCTCCAAAATCCTGATTAAACACAAGATCCAGGTCCGATTCAACACAGTACATAAAATCCGTGATCTGGTCCCGTCTGTAAAAGATGTGGTTCCAGACATACAGTACCCTGGCGTCTACAAACTAAGTTGCCTCTGTGGTAGCAGTTACATTGGAGAAACCAAACGACATGTCTCGGACCGCATCCGTGAACATAAGGCAGACCTGAAACACGGTAGGACAAACACCTCAGCCGTGGCAGATCACTGTTACAATTCAGTGGGCTCACATGACATTGACTTCTCCAAGACAGAGGTTCTCTGCAAGCCATCTGGCTATCATGAGAGATTCGTTCATGAGGCGATCCACATATACAAACACAGAGACAATTTCAACCGAGAAGATGGATTCTGGCTTAGCAATCATTGGAAGGACGTAATAAACCATTTCGGATCTTAACTGATTGTGTTCACGTTAACGGTGACTTTCAGACCGCGTTCCACTCACTGGCATGGTGCAGTGTGCAGAGTAATGTATGGTGTCGTAATTGTACAGTAAACATATAGCAGTATGATACACATTAGGGTGGGTAGAATAATACATAGTGTTATATTAAAATGGATAAGGCAGCAACTGCAGCAGCAGCAGCAAGTGCAGCAGCAGCAGCAAGTGCAGCAGCAGCAGCAGCAAGTGCAGCAGCAGCAACTGCAGCAGCAGCAGCAGCAGAAACTGCAGCAGCAGCAACTACTGCAGCAGCAGTAACTACAGCTCCCTTTGATGCTGTTAATCCTGCATAATGCACATGCATATGCAGTACTAATTACATTCCTGCATTTCCCATAAATATGCTAAATTCCTGTTGATATGCAAATTCCTTTGTCAATGCGCCCAGCTTATATATATGCTCTAAGCCCGTGTGCTGTTTCATTCAGACTCTGTCGCCTCGACGGACCTGGTTTTCACCTGAGGACGGCTGCTTGCGTTGTGGCCGAAACGTCGTGAGAATTGTTTTATTATGTTTTATTTTTATTATTTTATTACTTCCCTTCTACGTGACTTTACCGAAAGAACCAAGAAGACATTATAATCACAGTGTGGTTGTATAATAATCGCACTCTGCTCATGTAACACTCAAGTGACAGAACTCAACAAAAAAACGCCGCAATAAAAATAACAACATCTATGGACAAATCCTAAAAACAGACAACACACGCACGTTAGTAGCTGTTAGCAGAAGACAACACCGAGCACCTTCAACTATACACATCATACAGCCAACTCGTAAATGGGGCGGTATATGACAGCCTTCGCTGCTGTCGACGGAGCCAAGCAGCGAATGTTTAACTCCATTGTTTCAGAATCCGTGTCATCACCCGGCCACAGCGCCTTAGCCAAACTACATCTCCACAACAAGGCAGCCTTCCCTATGCTGTGTATTTTAGCAGTATATTTACTGACGCACTTGAAGATAACAATTAGTCTAGAAATGGCAGCCGACTTGTTCTACCAACATGATTTCAATTTATATCCGAAAGAAGTATGAGTTCATTCATGAGTAGTATTCACTAAGCCCCGATAGCACTAACCTACACACAGTTATGATTAAACAAAGTAAAAATTAGTCGCTCATCCCAGCTCAGACATGATCATAGCAATTATTTCCAAATCCTTGTCGGGTCCCACGAGAACAGGGGGCCTCGCTCGCGTGGCGACAGCGATCGCCTCACTCCTCCGCCGCGTGCTGCTTTGTGGTGGCAGGTCCACCGCCCAGTAGGGGTGGTGGCGGTGGTCGTGCATCGGTGCCAACCGTGACCGCTATCACCACACTACCCACTCACCCCGTGATACTCGCTACACACACCACACGGGTCCCCAGAGAGACGGTGCAACTGGGACCACAGCTGGGGAATGAAGCTGAGCAGCAGATGCCAGGACTACAGCGGAGAATGACTGCTGCCGGCGCAGCCAATGACATCGCCTGTTGCAATCCTTGCTCTGTGTGCGCGCGAGTCAGTGGGGAGGGGGGTGTGGACGTCATCGCTCACCCCCCATGCACAAATCATTTTCTTTTTAACTCCTCTATACCCGGTCGATATCCCTGTACCGGTATTAGTATTATTCCTACCAGCCCACCCCGCAGGGTCCTGTTTTCAAATACGTATTTAAAAATATGTTTTCAATTTTTTAAAAATTTAGAATGTCGTTGTCCATGTGGGGAGCGCAGTGGATCGTTTCGTCTAAGCTGCTTTTCGGAATCCGCGTGATAACCCAGTCACATCGCCTAACTCCAGTGACAGCACCTTACCCAAACTACATCTCCCCAACAAGGCAGCCTTCCCGCTGCTGTGTATTGTGTTTATGGGATAACAGAGGTGTGTATTTTCCCATGCGCCTTGCCCAAAACGACTGATTGTCCGCTTAACAGCCTAGCCTGTAAACCACCATTGGTGATAGTATTGTGTGAGAGCAGCTATTAAAGTCGAGTGTGGTCACTACGCGTCTGTACGTGCTCCCTCCCGAAGCTTGGCGGTTTTTGGCAACGCCACGGGGCTGCATTCACTTTAAATTGAGGACAACGGAGGGCATGGCGAACGTGTTTATCCATTTATTCAAAATAAGCGCACAATTACACACTGAGATGCACTTACATATTCATGCATGAAGCACAATGGGCACATTACCCTTCGGTATGTTAATAGACATGCGGATTGTGCCTTCCAAAATTAACAATCGAATGCAAATATCCTGAAAGACAAAGGATTGGATCCTAGGGGGGGAATTATAAGGCGGCTCAGAAGCAGAGCTCAATGCCATTTCGAGAGGAAACTTGATGAGGTTGGACGCTCGACTCGTCGCTCTGCTGATCGCCCTTCAACCGCGAGACAACGCAGCCTGGCGAGCACAATTGCTGTGTCGACATTTAGGCGACTTTGTGTCGGGAGAGTTCGTGGCGACATCTTCAGACGGGTTACAGACATCGATATACCGTGAATCTCCAAGTAAGTGTCTATTTTCGCGGAACGTGTTCTTCGTCAAATTAGCGGGATTTTTTTGCGTCTCGGTAAGACGCGAGTGTCGTTCTTGTTTTAGCAGTTAACAAAATCTAAAACTCAACGCTAAACATCCTTGCGGCTGATAGCGTACTTTTGACTCGATAACAGCGCTGCTGTTACTACGCTCACATGGAGCAGAGACGCTCTCCACAGCCCCACGCACACGGAGACAAGAAGCCATTGAATTGCTCTGTGTGTGGGAAGTCCTTTTCATGGTCATCAAGTCTTAAGAGACACCAGAGAACGCACACGGGTGAGAAGCCATTCCTGTGCTCTGTGTGTGGGAAAACATTTGCACACTCATCACATCTTCAAACTCATCAGAGAACACACACGGGCGAGAAGCCATTCCTGTGCCCTGTGTGTGGGAAGCCATTTGCAGACTCATCAACTCTTCAAACTCATCAGAGAACACACGCAGGCGAGAAACCATTCCTGTGCCCTGTGTGTGGGAAGACATTTGCACAGGCATCAAATCTTCAAACTCACCAGAGAACACACACGGGCGAGAAGCCATTCCTGTGCCCTGTGTGTGGGAAGACATTTGCAGACTCATCAACTCTTCAAACTCATCAGAGAACACACACAGGCGAGAAGCCATTCCTGTGCCCTGTGTGTGGGAAGGCATTTGCACAATCGTCAACTCTTCAAACTCATCAGAGAACGCACACGGGCGAGAAGCCATTCCTGTGCCCTGTGTGTGGGAAGACATTTGCGAAGTCATCACACCTTCAGAGTCATCAGAGAACACACACGGGTGAGAAGCCATTCCTGTGCCCTGTGTGTGGGAAGGCATTTGCACAGTCGTCAACTCTTCAAGACCATCAGAGAACACACACGGGCGATAAGCCATTCCTGTGCCCTGCGTGTGGGAAGGCATTTTCACAGTCGTCAACTCTTAACAGGCATCAGAAGGTCCACAATGATAGGAAACTGAAATCAAAAGCTGAAATTCAAGGTGCTGCAATGAGTCCTCAAGAAGTTTCCACCTTCGATCCCATGCAGTTGGATCCCGAGAGATGGCTGGATGTAATGGAGTGGCTCGAGAGTCAACCAGAGAGCTCGGCGTGACTGAAAAAATATTACGTCATGTGGTTATACCTATTAAGCCGTATCGAGTACTTTTGTGTGTAATTTTGACCATTTTAGTTTTATAGTTTTTTTTTTAGTTTAATGACGTGCACAGTGGTGGTTTGTAATGTTATCGGGTTACTTGCCGAAGTGGTGTGATGAGCACTGGTTGTGAGAGGGTTCAATTGTAGTCGTTAAGTGTCCCTGTTGAGCTAAAGTTGGAATGCGTCTGTAGGTACATCTTTACTCAACATTTTAAACTATTTTTTTTCAAGTATATAGCGGTTTTCGATTGGTATTAATCGACTTTAGATAGCTGATTTCAGGATGTACATTGATGACGCGATCGTTGGATATATGGCCTTGACTTCAACATGGACGCACAGTGAACAAATGTGGTGAATTAATAAGGAAATCAATGATACTTTAACGTTTTGGTATTCCTGGAACGGAAATGGTTTGCATGGTACTGGAAATGTGTGAACATAGGACGTAATAAATATTCCCTTCGAGTTTTGATGTAAAATTATTGCAGATGAATAAAAACGTATTTTTAACAAATGTTTGTCCATTCTTGATTTTATCATGTTCCTAGCAAAAACATGTTAAGATAATTTCAGGTGTAGGATCTCCGTCACACAAGTGTGCCCTTAACCGGCAGCATCTTGGCTGTCTACCCGATTAACACGTGTTCCTTGAGGGGAAAGGTCCCCGTAGTTAATCCTTCATCAACGTACCAGTCCCTAATCCCTAAGTATGTCGGGGATAAACTGTACTCTATAACATGTAAACTGTAATACTATAAACTATAACACTAAACATTGAACGATTATTAACTAGTGTTTTAATTTATAACCATATAAACAGAGGTAAGGTATTATAATATCATTAGAAGCATTAGAATCACAGTGTGATCGTATAAGAATCACGCACAAACCCATTCTTAACTGATGAGATTATGAATCGTTACAATTATTATAACAATCGCAATTTGTGACAAAGCGAAATTCCCACAGGCAAAACACCACGCTCACGTGACGAATTCTTAAACAAACTGCAACACTCAAGTGACAGAACTCAACAAAAAAACGCCGCAATAAAAAGAACTACATCAATGGGCAAATCATAAAAACAGACAACACACGCACGTTAGTAGCTGTTAGAAGAAGACAACACTTAACACCTTCAACTATACACATTGTACAGCCAACTCGTAAATGGGGCGGTATATGACAGCCTTCGCTGCTGTCGACGGGGCCAAGCAGCGAGTGTTTAACTCCATTGTTTCAGAATCCGTGTCATCACCCGGCCACAGCGACTTAGCCAAACTACATCTCCCGAACAAGGCTGCCTTCCCTATGCTGTGTATTTCAGCAGTATATTTACGGGCGCACTTGAAGATAACAATTCGTCTCGAAAAGGAAAGCGAATTGTTCTACCAAAACGATTTCAAATTTCTATCCGAAAGAAGAATGAGTTCATTCATGAGTAGTAGTCACTAAGCACCGATGGCACTAACCTACGCACAGTTATGATTAAACAAAGTAAACATTAGTCGCTCATCTCAGCTCAGACATGATCATAGCAATTATTTCCAAATCCGTGTCGGGTCCCACGAGAACAGGGCACGGCCACAAACTCTCAGATTGAAGAAGTCGCTGCTTTGCCATCGAATGGTTTCGTAGCTGCTGTAGTTGCTTCTGTTACTGTTATATCGGCAGCATGTTGGTGTCCCGTTATGGGATAACGTCTTTGATCAAAAACTATGATCGAACCTACCAGACCAACGCCATCGATCGACGTCTTGGATATACTCTCACATTGTAAACTCTGACATTGTAAATTCTCACACTGTGAACTTTAACATTATGAACTTCAACAATGGTAATTTAAAAACATTCACATATACATTTGAAGAATCTACAAATTACTGTAAACTAGTATGTGAACTCTAACAATATAACCTATGAGCTATACATTATAACGCTATACAATAACATTATTAACTAGTGCTATAGATTAGAACAACCTACCTTGAAGTGTGATATTCGAAATCGCATTCGAATTATTCGAATCACTCCGTGGTCCTCTTCGAATCACACTACGGTCGTAAGTATGTAACATGTATGTATGTAACATATCTGTTTGTAGTAAGTATATGTGCATGTAACATGTATGTATGTAACATATCTGTTTGTAGTAAGTATATGTGCATGTAACATGTATGTATGTAACATGCATGTATGTATGTAACATGTATGTATGTAACATGTATGTATGTAATATAGACGTGCGAACCAAGGGTGGAAAATGTAAAACGGAAGGTGCAGGATCAGGATGGGATTAAAATTATTTGAATAACACTTTGGTGGTATTAGGATCAAGCTGTCCACTATTGGATGAATGTTCCATCTCAATGGCATCACATAGCAATATTCAGTATGTATATATAAAATAATCGTACAAACTCAACATAAGCCCGTGCAATAATGAATCGTTAAAATTGTAATTACTCCAAACTCTTTTATTTAGCCTTTAACGCGGTTTCAGACCCCAGGCGTCACGATATAGCAACGACGACGAGACAGCAACCAGCCAACACAGCCCCAAACATCGTTACTCCCCGTCTCTCATTCTCGGCGTGAACCTCCGCCCACACATGGTCTCGCCTTCCCTTCTCGAACTCTCGCTATCTTGTTGTCACCACTTGTCCCTTAGTTGACGCACTGTCTTTACATCACCCACCTCTATGACCTCTACCTGACCCCGCCATGGGCGGAGCAACTTGGGAGATTTTCCCGGTAGCACCTGTAGGCAATACAACCATGCCCTGTCCCCCACTGCCCATGGAAGCACGTGCTCCCGCCGCCCCGAGTTCTTTTCATTAGCGTATTGCGCTCTGGTGGGGAAAGGTCCTCGTTATGAATCGTTTTGCAACGTTCAGGTCCAGAATACCGAAGTATACCGGGAATCACCTGCACCTAAAAAATATGTAAACTGGTAACACTATAAACAATAACACTCAACATTAAACGACAAAAAATTATCAACTGGTTTTATAATTTATAGCACCATAAACGGAGGTATGGTATTTAAATCTCATTAGAAGTATTAAAATCGCACTCTACACATATGTATGTAAATTATCTGTTCAATCGAACCGGGGGTAGGATATGTTAACTGTGAGGGTACAGGGCAAGAATCGCAATCACATTTTAGAATAATAATATGGTAGTATTAGCATTTTAATGGGCTATAATGTATGTTAAGTGCAAATGCAAATCGTTAGTCGTAAATGCGAGGGAGGGGTTAAGAGGTGCACGTTTAATCCAGTGTTAACATTTATTTTAGCATCATATTTAAGGACACTGTTGTTGATAAGAATTCGTCTACTCGATCAACCAAAATTAGTACAATGTCGGTCATACAGGAGTGTGATTTCATTCATGAGTAGTATTCACAGAGTCCCGATGACACTAACCTACCTAAAGTTATGGTTAAACAACGTAATCTTGAGTGACTTAATTCTCAGCTCAGACATGATCATCGCAATCATTTCCAAAGACGTGTGGGGTCCTGCGAGAGCAGGTCCCGACTACAAACAGCTGGGCAGCAGAATCGTAAGTAGCTGCGTCGCCCTCGAAATGTGATGTTGCTGCTGTTGTTGTCGCTACTGTTGTTGCTGCTGTAGTTGCTTCTGTTCCTGTGATATACGCAGGGAGGTGGTGTTCTGTGATGGGATGACGCTTTTGATTAAAGCCTCTGATCAAACTCACCCGATTGACGCCCTTGATCGTCGCATTTGATCAACTCTGATATTGTATACTCTCACATCTTAAGCTCTATCATAGTGAAACATAATATTATAACCTATGAACTACAACCTATCCATTGTAACGCTATTGGATTTCACTTCCTCGTCGAGAAGGCCGCTCTCTTCCTTTTCTAAAGTTATATGCTAATTTCTCTGCATTCACTTTGAATCGAGGACAATGTTTTTCCATTAATTCAAAATAAGCGCACAATTACACACTGAGATGCACTTACATATTCATGCATGAAGCACAATGGGCACATTACTCTTCGGTATGTTAATAGACATGCAGATTGTACCTTCCAAAATTAGCAATCGAATGCAAATATCCTGAAAGACAAAGGATTGGATCCTAGGGGGGGAGTTATAAGGAAGCTCAGAAGCAGAGCTCAATGCCATTTCGAGAGGGAACTTGATGAGGTTGGACGCTCGACTCGTCGCTCTGCTGATCGCCCTTCAACCGCGAGACAACGCAGCCTGGCGAGCACAATTGCTGTGTCGACAGTTAGGCGACTTTGCGTCGGGAGAGATCGTGGCGACATCTTCAGACGAGTTCTAGACATCCATATACCGTGAATCTCCAAGTAAGTGTCTATTATCGCGGATAAACTCTTAAACGTGTTTTGTCGTCATATTTACGGGATTTTTTTGCGTCTCGGTTAGACGCGAGTGTCGTTCTTGTTTTAGCAGTTAACGAAATCCAAAACTAAACGCTAAACATCCTTTCGGCCGATAGCGTACTTTTGATTCGATAACACCGCTGCTGTTACTACGCTCACATGGAGCAGAGACGCTCTCCACAGCCCCACGCACACGGAGACAAGAAGCCATTCAATTGCTCTGTGTGTGGGAAGGCATTTTCATGGTCATCAAGTCTTAAGAGACACCAGAAAACACACACGGGTGAGAAGCCAATCCTGTGCTCTGTGTGTGGGAAAACATTTGCACACTCATCACATCTTCAGAGTCATCAGAGAACACACACGGGCGAGAAGCCATTCCTGTGCCCTGTGTGTGGGAAGGCATTTGCACAGTCGTCAACTCTTCAAAACCATCAGAGAACACACACGGGCGATAAGCCATTCCTGTGCCCTGCGTGTGGGAAGGCATTTTCACAGTCGTCAACTCTTAACAGGCATCAGAAGGTCCACAATGATAGGAAACTGAAATCAAAAGCTGAAATTCAAGGTGCTGCAATGAGTCCTCAAGAAGTTTCCACCTTCGATCCCATGCAGTTGGATCCCGAGAGATGGCTGGATGTAATGGAGTGGCTCGAGGATCAAACCGAGAGCTCGGCGTGACTGAAAAAATATTACGTCATGTGGTTATACCTATTAAGCCGTATCGAGTACTTTTGTGTGTAATTTTGACCATTTTAGTTTTATAGTTTTTTTGAGAGTTTAATGACGTGCACAGTGGTGGTTTGTAATGTTATCGGGTTACTTGCCGAAGTGGTGTGATGAGCACTGGTTGTGAGAGGGTTCAATTGTAGTCGTTAAGTGTCCCTGTTGAGCTAAAGTTGGAATGCGTCTGTAGGTACATCTTTACTCAACATTTTAAACTATTTTTTTTCAAGTATATAGCGGTTTTCGATTGGTATTAATCGACTTTAGATAGCTGATTTCAGGATGTACATTGATGACGCGATCGTTGGATATATGGCCTTGACTTCAACATGGACGCACAGTGAACAAATGTGGTGAATTAATAAGGAAATCAATGATACTTTAACGTTTTGGTATTCCTGGAACGGAAATGGTTTGCATGGTACTGGAAATGTGTGAACATAGGACGTAATAAATATTCCCTTCGAGTTTTGATGTAAAATTATTGCAAATGAATAAAAACGTATTTTTAACAAATGTTTGTCCATTCTTGATTTTATCATGTTCCTAGCAAAAACATGTTAAGATAATTTCAGGTGTAGGATCTCCGTCACACAAGTGTGCCCTTAACCGGCAGCATCTTGGCTGTCTACCCGATTAACACGTGTTCCTTGAGGGGAAAGGTCCCCGTAGTTAATCCTTCATCAACGTACCAGTCCCTAATCCCTAAGTATGTCGGGGATAAACTGTACTCTATAACATGTAAACTGTAATACTATAAACTATAACACTAAACATTGAACGATTATTAACTAGTGTTTTAATTTATAACCATATAAACAGAGGTAAGGTATTATAATATCATTAGAAGCATTAGAATCACAGTGTGATCGTATAAGAATCACGCACAAACCCATTCTTAACTGATGAGATTATGAATCGTTACAATTATTATAACAATCGCAATTTGTGACAAAGCGAAATTCCCACAAGCAAAACACCACGCTCACGTGACGAATTCTTAAACAAACTGCAACACTCAAGTGACAGAACTCAACAAAAAAACGCCGCAATAAAAAGAACTACATCAATGGGCAAATCATAAAAACAGACAACACACGCACGTTAGTAGCTGTTAGAAGAAGACAACACTTAACACCTTCAACTATACACATTGTACAGCCAACTCGTAAATGGGGCGGTATATGACAGCCTTCGCTGCTGTCGACGGGGCCAAGCAGCGAGTGTTTAACTCCATTGTTTCAGAATCCGTGTCATCACCCGGCCACAGCGACTTAGCCAAACTACATCTCCCGAACAAGGCTGCCTTCCCTATGCTGTGTATTTCAGCAGTATATTTACGGGCGCACTTGAAGATAACAATTCGTCTCGAAAAGGAAAGCGAATTGTTCTACCAAAACGATTTCAAATTTCTATCCGAAAGAAGAATGAGTTCATTCATGAGTAGTATTCACTAAGCACCGATGGCACTAACCTACGCACAGTTATGATTAAACAAAGTAAACATTAGTCGCTCATCTCAGCTCAGACATGATCATAGCAATTATTTCCAAATCCGTGTCGGGTCCCACGAGAACAGGGCACGGCCACAAACTCTCAGATTGAAGAAGTCGCTGCTTTGCCATCGAATGGTTTCGTAGCTGCTGTAGTTGCTTCTGTTACTGTTATATCGGCAGCATGTTGGTGTCCCGTTATGGGATAACGTCTTTGATCAAAAACTATGATCGAACCTACCAGACCAACGCCATCGATCGACGTCTTGGATATACTCTCACATTGTAAACTCTGACATTGTAAATTCTCACACTGTGAACTTTAACATTATGAACTTCAACAATGGTAATTTAAAAACATTCACATATACATTTGAAGAATCTACAAATTACTGTAAACTAGTATGTGAACTCTAACAATATAACCTATGAGCTATACATTATAACGCTATACAATAACATTATTAACTAGTGCTATAGATTAGAACAACCTACCTTGAAGTGTGATATTCGAAATCGCATTCGAATTATTCGAATCACTCCGTGGTCCTCTTCGAATCACACTACGGTCGTAAGTATGTAACATGTATGTATGTAACATATCTGTTTGTAGTAAGTATATGTGCATGTAACATGTATGTATGTAACATGCATGTATGTATGTAACATGGTACATGCATGCATGTAACATGTATGTATGTAACATGTATGTATGTAATATAGACGTGCGAACCAAGGGTGGAATATGTAAAACGGAAGGTGCAGGATCAGGATGGGATTAAAATTATTTGAATAACACTTTGGTGGTATTAGGATCAAGCTGTCCACTATTGGATGAATGTTCCATCTCAATGGCATCACATAGCAATATTCAGTATGTATATATAAAATAATCGTACAAACTCAACATAAGCCCGTGCAATAATGAATCGTTAAAATTGTAATTACTCCAAACTCTTTTATTTAGCCTTTAACGCGGTTTCAGACCCCAGGCGTCACGATATAGCAACGACGACGAGACAGCAACCAGCCAACACAGCCCCAAACATCGTTACTCCCCCTCTCTCATTCTCGGCGTGAACCTCCGCCCACACATGGTCTCGCCTTCCCTTCTCGAACTCTCTCTATCTTGTTGTCACCACTTGTCCCTTAGTTGACGCACTGTCTTTACATCACCCACCTCTATGACCTCTACCTGACCCCGCCATGGGCGGAGCAACTTGGGAGATTTTCCCGGTAGCACCTGTAGGCAATACAACCATGCCCTGTCCCCCACTGCCCATGGAAGCACGTGCTCCCGCCGCCCCGAGTTCTTTTCATTAGCGTATTGCGCTCTGGTGGGGAAAGGTCCTCGTTATGAATCGTTTCGCAACGTTCAGGTCCAGAATACCGAAGTATACCGGGAATCACCTGCACCTAAAAAATATGTAAACTGATAACACTATAAACAATAACACTAAACATTAAACGACAAAAAATTATCAACTGGTTTTATAATTTATAGCACCATAAACGGAGGTATGGTATTTAAATCTCATTAGAAGTATTAAAATCGCACTCTACACATATGTATGTAAATTATCTGTTCAATCGAACCGGGGGTAGGATATGTTAACTGTGAGAGTAGAGGGCAAGAATCGCATTCACATTTTAGAATAATAATATGGTCGTATTAGCATTTTAATGGGCTTTAATGCATGTTACGTGCAAATGCAAATCGTTAGTCGTAAATGCGAGGGAGGGGTTAAGAGGTGCACGTTTAATCCAGTGTTAACATTTATTTTAGCATCATATTTAAGGACACTGTTGTTGATAAGAATTCGTCTACTCGATCAACCAAAATTAGTACAATGTCGGTCATACAGGAGTGTGATTTCATTCATGAGTAGTATTCACAGAGCCCCGATGACACTAACCTACCTAAAGTTATGGTTAAACAACGTAATCTTGAGTGACTTAATTCTCAGCTCAGACATGATCATCGCAATCATTTCCAAAGACGTGTGGGGTCCTGCGAGAGCAGGTCCCGACTACAAACAGCTGGGCAGCAGAATCGTAAGTAGCTGCGTCGCCCTCGAAATGTGATGTTGCTGCTGTTGTTGTCGCTACTGTTGTTGCTGCTGTAGTTGCTTCTGTTCCTGTGATATACGCAGGGAGGTGGTGTTCTGTGATGGGATGACGCTTTTGATTAAAGCCTCTGATCAAACTCACCCGATTGACGCCCTTGATCGTCGCATTTGATCAACTCTGATATTGTATACTCTCACATCTTAAGCTCTATCATAGTGAAACATAATATTATAACCTATGAACTACAACCTATCCATTGTAACGCTATTGGATTTCACTTCCTCGTCGAGAAGGCCGCTCTCTTCCTTTTCTAAAGTTATATGCTAATTTCTCTGCATTCACTTTGAATCGAGGACAATGTTTTTCCATTAATTCAAAATAAGCGCACAATTACACACTGAGATGCACTTACATATTCATGCATGAAGCACAATGGGCACATTACTCTTCGGTATGTTAATAGACATGCGGATTGTACCTTCCAAAATTAGCAATCGAATGCAAATATCCTGAAAGACAAAGGATTGGATCCTAGGGGGGGAGTTATAAGGAAGCTCAGAAGCAGAGCTCAATGCCATTTCGAGAGGGAACTTGATGAGGTTGGACGCTCGACTCGTCGCTCTGCTGATCGCCCTTCAACCGCGAGACAACGCAGCCTGGCGAGCACAATTGCTGTGTCGACAGTTAGGCGACTTTGCGTCGGGAGAGATCGTGGCGACATCTTCAGACGAGTTCTAGACATCCATATACCGTGAATCTCCAAGTAAGTGTCTATTTTCGCGGATAAACTCTTAAACGTGTTTTGTCGTCATATTTACGGGATTTTTTTGCGTCTCGGTTAGACGCGAGTGTCGTTCTTGTTTTAGCAGTTAACGAAATCCAAAACTAAACGCTAAACATCCTTTCGGCCGATAGCGTATTTTTGATTCGATAACACCGCTGCTGTTACTACGCTCACATGGAGCAGAGACGCTCTCCACAGCCCCACGCACACGGAGACAAGAAGCCATTCAATTGCTCTGTGTGTGGGAAGACATTTTCATGGTCATCAAGTCTTAAGAGACACCAGAAAACACACACGGGTGAGAAGCCAATCCTGTGCTCTGTGTGTGGGAAAACATTTGCACACTCATCACATCTTCAGAGTCATCAGAGAACACACACGGGCGAGAAGCCATTCCTGTGCCCTGTGTGTGGGAAGGCATTTGCACAGTCGTCAACTCTTCAAAACCATCAGAGAACACACACGGGCGATAAGCCATTCCTGTGCCCTGCGTGTGGGAAGGCATTTTCACAGTCGTCAACTCTTAACAGGCATCAGAAGGTCCACAATGATAGGAAACTGAAATCAAAAGCTGAAATTCAAGGTGCTGCAATGAGTCCTCAAGAAGTTTCCACCTTCGATCCCATGCAGTTGGATCCCGAGAGATGGCTGGATGTAATGGAGTGGCTCGAGGATCAAACCGAGAGCTCGGGGTGACTGAAAAAAATATTACGTCATGTGGTTATACCTATTAAGCCGTATCGAGTACTTTTGTGTGTAATTTTGACCATTTTAGTTTTACAGTTTTTTTGAGAGTTTAATTACGTGCACAGTGGTGGTTTGTTATGTTATCGGATTACTTGTCGAATTGGTGTGAAGAGCACTGGTTGTGAGAGGGTTCAATTGTAGTCGTTAAGTGTTCCTGTTGAGCTAAAGTTGGAATGCGTCTGTAGTTACATCTTTACTCAACATTTTAAACAGTTTTTTTCAAGTATATAGCTTTTTTGAATGGTATTAATCGACTTTAGATAGCCGGCTTCCGGATGTACATTGATGACGTGTTCGTTGGATATATGGCCTTGACTTCAACATAGACGCACAGTGAACAAATGTGGTGAACTAATAAGGACATCATGGGGAATGAAACTTTAACGCTTTGGTATTCCTGGAACGGAAATGGTTTGCATTGTACTGGAAATGTTTGAACATAGGACATAATAAATATTCCCTTCGAGTTTTGACGTAAAAATGATTGCAGATGAATAAAAACGTATTTTTAACAAATGTTTGTCCGTTCTTTATTTTATAATGTTCCTAGCAAAAACATGTTAAGATAATTTCAGGTGGAGGATCTCCGTCACACAAGTGTGCCCTTAACCGGCAGCATCTTGGCTGTCTACCCTATTAACACGTGTTCCTTGAGGTGAAAGGCCCCCGTAGTTAATCGTTCATCAACGTACCAGTCCCAAATCCCGAAGTATGTCGGGGATAAACTGTACTCTATAACATGTAAACTGTTATACTATACACGATAACACTAAACATTAAACAATTATAAACTAGTGTTTTAAATTATAACCATATAAACGTAGGTAACGTATTATAATATCATCAGAAGCATTATAATCACAGTGTGGTTGTATAATAATCGCACTCTGCTCATGTAACACTCAAGTGACAGAACTCAACAAAAAAACGCCGCAATAAAAAGAACAACATCTATGGACAAATCCTAAAAACAGACAACACACGCACGTTAGTAGCTGTTAGCAGAAGACAACACCGAGCACCTTCAACTATACACATCATACAGCCAACTCGTAAATGGGGCGGTATATGACAGCCTTCGCTGCTGTCGACGGAGCCAAGCAGCGAATGTTTAACTCCATTGTTTCAGAATCCGTGTCATCACCCGGCCACAGCGCCTTAGCCAAACTACATCTCCACAACAAGGCTGCCTTCCCTATGCTGTGTATTTTAGCAGTATATTTACTGACGCACTTGAAGATAACAATTAGTCTAGAAATGGCAGCCGACTTGTTCTACCAACATGATTTCAATTTATATCCGAAAGAAGTATGAGTTCATTCATGAGTAGTATTCACTAAGCCCCGATAGCACTAACCTACACACAGTTATGATTAAACAAAGTAAAAATTAGTCGCTCATCCCGAGCTCAGACATGATCATAGCAATTATTTCCAAATCCTTGTCGGGTCCCACGAGAACAGGGGGCCTCGCTCGCGTGGCGACAGCGATCGCCTCACTCCTCCGCCGCGTGCTGCTTTGTGGTGGCAGGTCCACCGCCCAGTAGGGGTGGTGGCGGTGGTCGTGCATCGGTGCCAACCGTGACCGCTATCACCACACTACCCACTCACCCCGTGATACTCGCTACACACACCACACGGGTCCCCAGAGAGACGGTGCAACTGGGACCACAGCTGGGGAATGAAGCTGAGCAGCAGATGCCAGGACTACAGCGGAGAATGACTGCTGCCGGCGCAGCCAATGACATCGCCTGTTGCAATCCTTGCTCTGTGTGCGCGCGAGTCAGTGGGGAGGGGGGTGTGGACGTCATCGCTCACCCCCCATGCACAAATCATTTTCTTTTTAACTCCTCTATACCCGGTCGATATCCCTGTACCGGTATTAGTATTATTCCTACCAGCCCACCCCGCAGGGTCCTGTTTTCAAATACGTATTTAAAAATATGTTTTCAATTTTTTAAAAATTTAGAATGTCGTTGTCCATGTGGGGAGCGCAGTGGATCGTTTCGTCTAAGCTGCTTTTCGGAATCCGCGTGATAACCCAGTCACATCGCCTAACTCCAGTGACAGCACCTTACCCAAACTACATCTCCCCAACAAGGCAGCCTTCCCGCTGCTGTGTATTGTGTTTATGGGATAACAGAGGTGTGTATTTTCCCATGCGCCTTGCCCAAAACGACTGATTGTCCGCTTAACAGCCTAGCCTGTAAACCACCATTGGTGATAGTATTGTGTGAGAGCAGCTATTAAAGTCGAGTGTGGTCACTACGCGTCTGTACGTGCTCCCTCCCGAAGCTTGGCGGTTTTTGGCAACGCCACGGGGCTGCATTCACTTTAAATTGAGGACAACGGAGGGCATGGCGAACGTGTTTATCCATTTATTCAAAATAAGCGCACAATTACACACTGAGATGCACTTACATATCCATGCATGAAGCACAATGGGCACATTACCCTTCGGTATGTTAATAGACATGCGGATTGTGCATTCCAAAATTAACAATCGAATGCAAATATCCTGAAAGACAAAGGATTGGATCCTAGGGGGGGGGAGTTATAAGACGGCTCAGAAGCAGAGCTCAATGCCATTTCGAGAGGGAACTTGATGAGGTTGGACGCTCGACTCGTCGCTCTGCTGATCGCCCTTCAACCGCGAGACAACGCAGCCTGGCGAGCACAATTGCTGCGTCGACAGTTAGGCGACTTTGCGTCGGGAGAGTTCGTGGCGACATCTTCAGACGGGTTACAGACATCGATATACCGTGAATCTCCAAGTAGGTGTCTATTTTCGCTTATAAACTCTTAAACGTGTTCGTCGTCAAATTAGCGGGATTTTTTTGCGTCTCGGCTAGACGCGAGTGTCGTTCTTGTTTTAGCAGTTAACAAAATCCCAAATTCAACGCTAAACATCCTTGCGACCGATAGCGTACTTTTGACTCGATAACACCGCTGCTGTTACTACGCTCACATGGAGCAGAGACGCTCTCCACAGCCCCACGCACACGGAGACAAGAATCCATTCAATTGCTCTGTGTGTGGGAAGTCATTTTCATGGCCATCATATCTTAAGAGTCACCAGAGAACACACACGGGTGAGAAGCCATTCCTGTGCCCTGTGTGTGGGAAGGCATTTGCACAGTCATCACATCTTCAGAGTCATCAGAAAACACACACGGGCGAGAAGCCATTCCTTTGCTCTGTGTGTGGGGAGGCCTTTACACACTCATCAACCATGAACAGGCATCAGAAGGTCCACAATGATAGGACACTGAAATCAAAAGCTGAAATTCAAGGTGCTGCAACGAGTCCTGAAGAAGTTTCCACCTTCGACCCCATGCAGTTGCATCCCGAGAGATGGCTGGATGTAATGGAGTGGCTCGAGGATCAACCAGAGAGCTCGGGGTGACTGAAAAAATATTATGTCTTGTGGTTATACCTATTAAGCCGTATCGAGTACTTTTGTGTGTAATTTTAGTTTTACAGTTTTTGTGAGAGTTTAATTACGTGCACAGTGGTGGTTTGTAATGTTATCGGATTACTTGCCGAAGTGGTGTGATGAGCACTGGTTGTGAGAGGGTTCAATTGTAGTCGTTATGTGTTCCTGTTGAGCTAAAGTCGGAATGCGTCTGTAGGGACATCTTTACTCAACATTTTAAACGATTTTTGTCAAGTATATAGCTTTTTTTGATTGGTATTAATCGACTTTAGATAGCCGATATCAGGATGTACATTGACGCGTTCGTTGGATATATGGCCTTGACTTCAAAATAGACGCACAGTGAACAAATGTGGTGAAATGGTTTGCATTGTACTGGAAATGTGTGAACATAGGACATAATAAATATTGCCTTCGAGTTTTGACGTAAAAATGATTGCAGATGAAAAAAAACGTATTTTTAACAAATGTTTGTCCGGTCTTTATTTTATAATGTTCCTAGCAAAAACATGTTAAGCGAGTTTCAGGTGGAGGATCTCCGTCACACAAGTGTGCCCTTAACCGGCAGCATCTTGGCTGTCTACCCGATTAACACGTGTTCCTTGAGGGGAAAGGTCCCCGTAGTTAATCGTTCATCAACGTACCAGTCACTAATCCCGAAGTGTGCCGGGGATAAACTGTACTCTATAACATGTAAACTGTAATACTATAGACGATAATACTAAACATAAAACGACTATAACTAGTGTTTTAATTTAGAACGATATGAACGGAGGTAAGGTATTATAATCTCATTATAAGCAGTAGAATCACAGTGTGGTCTCATTAGAATAGCACTTTGCTCATGTATGTATAGTGTACGTGCAAGGATCGGATTAAAACAATTACAAATTACACTACGGTCGTTATAGAATCACGATTTTCACTGCTGGATGAATGTTCCATCTCAATGGTATCGAAGAGCAATAGACAGTTTTCTATTCATAATTTAACGCATAAACACATTATAAGCCCATGAGCTTATTAATCGTTACAATTATTATAACAATCACAAATTGTAACAAAGCGAAATTCCCACTAAGCAAAACATCACGCTCACGTGGCGAATTCTTGAACAAAATGCAACACTAAAGTGACAGAACTCAACAAGAAATGCACACGACAAGTTCAACAACAATGGACAAATCCTAAAAACAGACAACACGCACGTTAGTAGCTGTTAGAAGAAGACAACACCTAGCACCTTCAACTTTACACATTATACAGCCCCAAAGATCCAACTCGAATATTAGGAGGTATATGACACCATTTGAACTTCCTACTTTCGTTCTCGATTAATGAAGATATTATTGGAAAATACTATCGCTTTCGCTTGTGATGTACCTCCTAATTATGGCCTCAGGTTAAAAAAAAAAGTTATTTCGAATTCCTCCATTATTCCAAGCTGCACAATTGAGGGTTGTGGACCGCTTTGAATGCTTCAATTTAATCACAGTAAATGCTTCAGACCACATCAGGACACTCAACCTAGAGCATAATTGAAGCAACGTGATGAGATGGCTAAGAACTTCAAGTTTATTCTAGTGTTAACGATATTTTAGCATAATAGGTAAGTACACTATATGTACTAAGAATTCGTCAACATAGCAGGTGTCTTGTTCTCCGTAATCAACCAAAATTATGACACATTCTATCATAAATGAGTGTGAGCTAATTCTTCAGTAGTATTCGCTAATCACCGTCACACAAGTCTGCCCTTAACGAGCAGTATCTTGGCTGTCTCCCCATTAACATGTTCCTAGAGGCGAATGGCCCCGTTATAAATCGTTTCGCAGCATTCTGGTCCCTAATCCCGAAGTATACTGGAGATCACCTGTACTCTATAACATGTCAACTGTAACATTATAAACGATAGCACTAAACATTAAACTACTATAAACTGGTTTAATAATTTATTACACCATAAAAGGAGGTACTTTATTTAAATCTCATTAGAAGTATTGAATAGCACTCTGCTCATAAATATGTATAGTATATGTTCACTCGAACAGGTTTCTGGTTAAATTGAGTAAGTAAAAAATATATTTTGTTAAACCCGCCACATGAAAATAGTAAGGATTGTCACTTAAACAGAACATGACAATTTGTTACTAAAGCATGTCTATTCTGGTCACTATTCTTCAATTGGGATTACCGTTGGCAGGCTATTTTAGTACACACAATCGACAGGAAGTACAAGGTCAATGGGTTCACTTAATTCGCATGCCTAATGTACGTTGATTACCATATAAATAACCCAAACTGCAATGGGTACCCATATCCATTTATATGTATTCATTAACACCCCCCTCCCCCACTTCGCGCAAGAAGAGCACACACGTATTGTCATCACATCTACCTCTCTATTTACGGAACGAAACAGGAGCACTTCTCCACAAAAACTGGCCGTAGCCTAATGAAGATTGTTGTAATTACTGACAAAACGTCGTACTCAGATTGTAAATGTTGTGGCTTGGCTCTCCAACACACCATTGTGCTGGACTAGTAACGAATAAGCATGTCCTGTTCACGTGACAAACCTTACTAATTGGGTGTGTGGGTGGTGGCGGGTTTAATGACACATGTTCATATTTAGGAGATTTATGGATACGGTATTGGAATCTCATTACAAGTATTAAAATCGCAATCTGCTCAGGCAGGGGTTAAGAGGTGCATGTTTAATCCAGTGTTCGTCTCGATCAACCAAAATAAGTACAAAGTCGGTCATAAAGGAGTACGAGTTATTTCATGAGTAGTATTCGCTGAGCCCCCAGATACTAACCTACACACGGTTAGACATGATCATCGCAATAATTTCCGAAGACGTGTGGGTTGGTCCCGCGAGAGCAGGGCCTGGCTACAAATAGTTGAGCAGCAGCAGAAACAGCAGAATCAGAAGTAGTTGCGTCGCCCTCAAAATGTGTTGCTGCTGCTGTTGTCGCTGCTGTTATTGGTGCTGCTTTAGTTACTTCTGTTGCTGTTATGCGTCGGGTGGTGGCTTATTTACTCATCACCACCCATAATCATCAACACAAATCATCAGTATCAACACCCATTATCATCACCAATCATCATTATCACTATCAACTCACCATCACCAACCATCGTCACCACCACCACCCAACCATCACAACCAACATTCATCATAACCACCACCAATCATCCATAATCACAACAACCCATCATCATCACCACCCATCATCATAACCTCCCCAATCATTACCACCACCAATGATCACCACTACCACCCATCATAATCACTACACATTATCATCACCACCCATCATCATTACCACCCTTCATAATCACCACCCATCATTATCATCACCACCATCCATTATCAAGAAACATCATAATCACCACCCATCATAAATTAACAAACACACACAGCTACATAGATATGTAACCTGACACAGACATAGATAACAGACACACACAAATAAACAATCTCATTAACAACTTAATAATAAAAAGCCCATATTACCACTGCCAGGATAGGTGCACACAGACAAATCCTTTACACAATAACAATTTACATGGAACTCAAATTCACACTTAGTACAACCACCTCACTCACTTAAATATAACTACAGATCAAAAACTCTAATAAAAACCTGAATTTGAAAGTAAATAAACCAATGGGATGGTGTTTATACGCTTGAAATGTAATTAATGAAATGCAAGTTAATAATTACAATTAAACAAAAAATAACTACGAACAAATGTGAAGCCTGAGGCCTAGGTATATGCCAGGCCTGATGGCCAGGCATCGCTTCAGTCCTCGCCGCAGTAACAGCGACATCAAAGACAGCACAAAGCGAGGGGGCAAATGTTTAATGTCGAACAGAGGGCTCTGCTGTTTCCGGTGACGCACCCCACCCGCACTGCACCACGTGGTGCGCCCGCCAAGCGCGTGGGGGCGGAGCCTCGCTGTAGTGACGTCACCTCTGTTACGTCATAGCCACGCCTCCACCCGCAGTCGAGAGGAATGCGCACGAGTGAGCAGCAGAAGAAGCCTTTGCAGAGCGAATCCTCAACGAGGTGAGCGTCCCTGTTGACGATGTGTGTTGTTTATTTTTATTGCACGTTTTGACTACAAACTAAAGCTTCATTATTTTTGAATATGTTGATATTGGGATTTTCTGTAACCAAATTATGACTATTAGTTTACTTGGCATGCTCTGATATGTTGCTGTTACTGTCATTGTTTAGACCCAAAGCAAGTTAACATTTAAAACGTTCATAACTAACCTGTTTAAATCTCATATAATATGATTAACATGTCTATAATGATTGTGTTCTGATTGCCTGCATAATTGTGCCCTGCATTACATGTATTGAATGCTATCCAACACGGGGGAGGAGTCTCCCTTTTAGTTCAGACCCGAGCTGCTGCCATAGACATCTCTTATCTGTGATGTCACAGCCACATGGGTGGTATCTCTGACATCAAGTGACCTACGACGTCATTCTCGGGTTATAACAAATAATTTAAGTATTGTCATTTGACCCCAATGACCTACAAGACATAGGGGGGCCTTTATCAAGCAGTTGATTAATACAAATGGGCTGTGCATCAACATGCTTGTCTGGATTAGAGGTTAAACATCACGGTTATATCTGGCGATTATGTTTAATGCAATGGGCAGTTGGAATAAACATGTTCGCGTGGGTGCATGAGTGAGTGATCTGACGCACGCGTGAGTGGGCAAACAAGCGAGTGAGTGGACTTGTAAAACAAACGGCACGAAAGTGATTTGATTGGTACAGCGAGTGGTCAAATATGTAATAATTGAGAGGATGAGTGATTCAAAAGGTTGCTAAATCTGAGCGTTTTTACAACCTCCCCAGGCCCTCCAACATCAAACAGAAACTACTCCTTCCCAACAACATGGATAGACAACGCAAGTGGGCTGACATCTTGGAGGACTATGATGGTAAGTCCCAGTTACCTGCATCACGTGGCTTTTTTGCAGAGGAGGCAGCTCCCTGATTAATTATTTTTAGTGGACGTGGCTTGGTGGTGATGGGAAGAGGTAAACAGTCAAGGGTGGCAGACAGCATGGATTTAGAACTGCGTTTCAGCCATATTGGTTTAAATTGGGGTCTCAACTTTATGAAATTGATCTCAACATGCTTACAAAAATTTGACTTGTAATGTTTTACTGCCATGTGACTAATGTTTCTCAACAGCAGGTCATGTTTTGTGTTAAGAGGTAATTACAAGAATCTCAGAATTAGTTGTGTGAATCTCCACGTGCTTCGTTCTCTAAGACATTACTCGTCCTTTGAATTAATTTTGTTTTCCGTAGCCCGGGAGTCATGGCGCCAGTCGACCACGTGGGGAGACATTATGGATGAAGTGGACCCTTTCCCAGGCCAAAGCTATGAAAATCGTTCCCCAAAGGTGTGTATGGGGTCTATGGGAGTCAAACACCACATTCTCTCCACACTCCCACACCATTGCACCAAAACATCACTACACCTCACATCACCACACAATATCTTTACATCACCACCAACTCGATATAATATACTCTTAGTTTTTTCGGTAAAGTCACGTACGTGACTCTTTCTTAGGTTTTTTCGGTAAAGTCGCATACGTGAGTATGAATGCTTGCAGTCACGAAAGATTCAATTCGAGAATCAATACAATAGCATAGAGCCTCATAAAGCGCCAATACCATCACAAGGCACCGTCTCTCCAGAACATTCCACAATTTCACCTCTCCGTATCACAACACCATCTCCCAACACCATCACTCCATCTCTCCATAATCACGTCATGCCATGAGTTAATGTGCATGTTTGCATCCTTACATAGATGTGCCAGTATGCATTTTTGTTTGTCTATGTGCCCGTCTATGTTTGTGTGCCTGCGAGAATAGATTTTGTCCTGAGTGCGCATGTCTGAATGATCATGTGCTTATCTTCGCGTGAACAGAGGAGCATTGGGGAGGTGAAGAACGTCAGCGGAGTGAAGCGTTTCCAGGAGGACAAGCGCCTTGCGAAGGAGAAATGCACAATGGAAGAGAAGCGCCCCAATGAGGTGAAGCGCCTCGCCAAGGTGAAGCACCAAACGGAGCAGAAGTGCCTTCGAAATAATATCCTCAAAGACGTGAAACGGGTCATGGAAAAGCGCCTCCTTGAAGAAACGCGCTTCATGGAGGAGAAGCGCCTTCGCGAGGTGAAGCGTCTCAAGGAGAAGCATCTGGAGGAAGAGAAGCGCCTCATAGATGTGAAGCGGGTCGAGGAAGAGAAGCGCCTCATGGAGGAGAAGCAGGTGGAAGAAGAGAAGTGCCTTGTCGAGGAGCAGCACCTCATTGAGGTGCAGCGGGTCGAGGAAGAGAAGCACCTCATGGAGGAGAATCGCCTCTTTGAGGTGAAGCGTCTCATAGAGCTGAAGCGTCTCGAGAAGAAAAATAAGCGACTTGAGGAGAGGCGCTTTCGCAAGGTGAAGCTCCTCGAGGAGAAACGTCTCATTCAGGAGAAGCGCCTCGTTGAGGTGAAGCGTCAAGAGGAGGAGGAGCACTTGATGGAGGAGAAGCGTCTTGTGGAGCAAAAGCGCCTCGAGGAAGAGCAGCGCCTCGCCAAGATCGAGCGACAATGGCTCCAGACCGCTACCACCAGCAGCAGCACCACTACCACTGACACCACCTCCACCACCGCCGCCATCGCCGCCGCCACGTCCTCCAATCCTGTGTGGGGCCCAATAGCTCCGAGCTTTGAAGAAGAGGGCTTCCAAGAAGATAAAGCAAACTCCGGAGTCGCTGAGCCACGGTAAACCACTCCGCGTGTGCGCCCTGTGTGTTTATTTTTGTTATTTATTGCCATGCTTCTCACGCAGCATCAGCCTTACACGGTCTCAAGACTTTTTTTCAGGAGGATCCTGCCAAGTTTGCTCGCATTTTTCAAGAAAGTTGCTACTGTTTGCGATCCAAATTGAACAATTTGCATTGCTTGTGTGGGTTTAGTAACAGGGAGAAAGCTGCAGAACATTCCCAGAACAGGTGGCTGCACAATCCACACGGAGAATGTGGCCAAACGTGGAAATCAAACCCAGGTCAATGTTGCTGTGACGCACAGGTGCTCAAGCCCTGTCGCGCTCTCAATATTCACAGACACTGCAAACTCCACGTGTACATTCCGCTATACTGTGGACAGACTTATTTTTCATAACTGGTTTCTGGGTTAGACCACATAACGAAGTGGGTATATCTTCACCATGTAACCCTCCATCCACCGTGAGATTTTCGCTGTCTATCGCCTGTTTCCAGGCCAGCTGCCAAGTCACCTTGTAATGCACAGCGACAGCTACCACTGAGAGGGGTGTCCAATTTAAAACGCGATGAGATGAGAGATGCGAGAGGCTCATCGCATGCAATGCACTCTGAGATGCCTTCGACGTCAAGGGAGGTGGCTCTCTCGACCACAAATCACTGACGGACACTTTTTTTAAATCGTGGATGTGTAGGTATGAAATAAAATAAATTAAATTAAATCACGACGTTTCGATGGCCATGTCGTTATTGCAAGAACGTTTCTTGCTGTGGTTTTCCCACCTGATGATTGCTTGTGTTACAATCGAAACGTTGTGATTTAATTTATTTTATTTTATACCTACATGACTTTACCGAAAGAACCAAAAAAATGTCACTTCAAATTATTCAGCTAAATTTGCACAGCAACGCCACCCACTACTGTGAAACTACAGCAGTCTGTGTGAGACACAGCTGCACCTATCTCAAGGATAGCCTGGCGCCATGAGAATGACAGCACCAATACTAAGCACACTCACTGGCCATGTCGTTATTGCTGTTTCTATTCAGCTCGAATTAATCCGCCACACATTCCACCCACGGACGATGGGGAGATGGCGATGTCTGCCGTAGCAGCAAGGTGGAACGGTGTCGTGTTTGACAGACAACCATCAGTTTTACCATGTCTAGTGGTGGTCTCCCTGTTACAGGTTGAGTCACAAACCGCACCTCTCCATAACAAAGGCTCAGCCTTTGATGTGCAGTCTATTCTTAGTCTTAAGCCTCACCTTACCATATTAATAAAAGTATGCGGCCCTTGCCCCACCACCTTCTCCAACCATTATATAAACGAAGTGGCAGCTTCTGCAATCTCTCATTTACCTGATACAGCTGTCGTGGCTGTGACGGTTCCACCTGAAGACGGAAGCTTGTGTTGCCTCCGAAACGTCGTGATTTAAATTTTTTATGTTATTTTATTTTACTTTTTAATGTTTTTTTACCTACGTGACTTTACCGAAAAAACCTAAGAATATGAATCATTGCAGTCACGAAAGCTTGAAATCTAGAACGGTGTCGTGTTGTCTCTTCACAGATCTGAGCCAGCTCAGCCCTCCTCCTCACTCGTCCAGGCCTTTGGAGTGAAGACAGAGGTTGTGGAGAAGAAGACGAAGGAAGAGGTGAAAGAGATGGAGAATGAAGTAGAGACGGAGGAAGAGAAGGCAAAGGAGGACGAGATTGTGATGGTGACAATGGAGGAGAACACGGAGGGAGAGGAGAAAGACAATACGGAGATGGAGGACAAGGAGACAACAAAGGATGAAGAGATGGTCGTGGTGGAGGACATGGAGACGACGGACAAAGGGGAAACAATGGTGGTGGAGGAGGAAGAGAAGACGGTGGTGGAGATGGTGGTGCCGGAAGTTGAGGAGGAGATGAAGGAGGAAGAGATGGTGCTAGCGGAGGAGAAGAAGATGGAGAAGATGGAGGTGGCGCAGGAAGAGGAGGAGGTAGAGGAGATGGTGGTGGAGGATGAAGAAGAGGGGATGGAGGAGGATGAGACGGAGGAGAAAACGGAAGAGGTGCAGGTGGAGATGCACGAAAAGAAGAGGAAGCGAGGGGGCCTCGCTCGCGTGGCGAGAGCGATCGCCTCACTCCTCCGCCGCGTGCTGCTTTGTGGTGGCAGGTCCACCGCCCAGTAGGGGTGGTGGCGGTGGTCGTGCATCGGTGCCGACCGTGACCACTATCACCACACTACCCACCCACCCCGTGATACTCGCTACACACACCACACGGTTCCCCAGAGAGACGGTGCAACGTTCAGGTCCAGAATACCGAAGTATACCGGGAATCACCTGTACTTAAAAACACGTAAATTGATAACACTATAAACAATAACACTAAACATTAAACGACAAAAAAGCTACCAACTGGTTTTATAATTTATACCACCATAAACGGAGGTACGGTATTTTAATTTCATTAGAAGTATTATAATGGAACTCTACACATGTTTGTTAATTGTCCGTTCAATCGAACCGACGGTCGGATATGTGAACTGTGGGGGTCGAGGGTAAGAATGGCATTCAAATTTTAGAATGACAATTTGGTCGTTTTAGCAAATTACTGTACTTGAATGTATGTTATGTGCAAATGCAAATTGTTAGTCGTAAATGCGAGGGAGGGGTTAAGAGGTGCACGTTTAATCCAGTGTTAACATTTATTTTAGCATCATATTTAAGGACACTGTTGTTGATAAGAATTCGTCTGGACATGTTATGTGCCTTGTTCTACTCGATCAACCAAAATTACTACAATGTCGGTCATACAGGAGTGTGATTTCATTCATGAGTAGTATTCACAGAGCCCCGATGACACTAACCTACCTAAAGTTATGGTTAAAAAAGTAATCTTGAGTGACTTAATTCTGAGCTCAGACATGATCATCGCAATCATTTCCAAAGACGTGTGGGGTCCTGCGAGAGCAGGTCCCGACTACAAATAGCTGGGCAGCAGAATCGGAAGTAGCTGCGTTGCCCTCGAAATGTGATGTTTGCTGCTGTTGTTGCTGCTGTAGTTGCTTCTGTTGCTGTAATAATCGCAGAGAGGTGGTGTTCCGTGATGGGATGACGCCTTTGATTAAAGCCTCTGTTCAAACTCACCCGATTGACGCCCTTGATCGTCGCATTTTATCAACTCTGATATTGTAGACTCTCACATGTTAAGCTCTATCATAGTGAAACATAATATTATAACCTATGAACTACAACCTATCCATTGTAACGCTGTAAAAGAATATTACCTATTGGGTTTCACTCCCTCGTCGAGAAGGCCGCTCTCTTCCTTTTCTAAAGTTACATCCTAATTTCTCTGCATTCACTTTAAATCGAGGACAAAGTTTTTCCATTTATTCAAAATAAGCGCACAGTTACACACTGAGATGCACTTACATATTCATGCATGAAGCACAATGGACACTTTACTCTTCGGTATGTTAATAGACATGCGGATTGTACCTTCCAAAATTAACAATCGAATGCAAATATCCTGAAAGACAAAGGATTGGATCCTAGAGGGGGAGTTATAAGGCGGCTCAGAAGCAGAGCTCAATGCCATTTCGAGAGGGAACTTGATGAGGTTGGACGCTCGACTCGTCGCTCTGCTGATCGCCCTTCAACCGCGAGACAACGCAGCCTGGCGAGCACAATTGCTGAGTCGACAGTTAGGCGACTTTGCGTCGGGAGAGTTCGTGGCGACATCGTCAGACGGGTTCCAGACATCGATATACCGTGAATCTCCAAGTAAGTGTCTTTTTTCGCGGACAAACTCTTAAACGTGTTCGTCGTCAAATAAGCGGGATTTTTTTGCGTCTCGGTTAGACGCGAGTGTCGTTCTTGTTTTAGCAGTTAACAAAATCCAAAACTCAACGCTAAACATCCTTGCGGCCGATAGCGTACTTTTGACTCGATAACACCGCTGCTGTTACTACGCTCACATGGAGCAGAGACGCTCTCCACAGCCCCACGCACACGGAGGCAAGAAGTCATTCAATTGCTCTGTGTGTGGGAAGTCCTTTTCATGGCCATCACATCTTCAGAGACACCAGAGAACACACACGGGTGAAAAGCCATTCCTGTGCCCTGTGTGTGGTAAGGCATTTGCACACTCGTCAACTCTTCAAGACCATCAGAGAACACACACGGGAGAGAAGCCATTCCTGTGCCCTGTGTGTGGGAAGGCATTTGTACAGTCATCACATCTTCAGAGTCATCAGAGAACACACACGGGCAAGAAGCCATTCCTGTGCTCTGTGTGTGGGAAGGCATTTTCACACTCATCAACCAGGAACAGGCATCAGAAGGTCCACAATGATAGGAAACTGAAATCAAAAGCTGAAATTCAAGGTGCTGCAATGAGTCCTGAAGAAGTTTCCACCTTCGATCCCATGCAGTTGGATCCCGAGAGATGGCTGGATGTAATGGAGTGGCTCGAGGATCAAACCGAGAGCTCGGGGTGACTGAAAAATAATGTTGCATGTGGTTATACCTATTAAGCCGTATCGAGTACTTTTGTGTGTAATTTTTGAGAGTTTAATGACGTGCACAGTGGTAGTTTGTAATGTTATCGGATTGCTTGCTGAAGTTGTGTGATGAGTACTGGTGGTGAGAGGGTTCAATTGTAGTCGTTTGGTGTTCCTGTTGAGCTAAAGTTGGAATGCGTCTGTAGATACATCTTTACTCAACATTTTAAAGATTGTTTTCATGTGTATGGCTTTTTTTGATTGGTATTAATCGATTTTAGATAGCTGATTTCAGGATGTACATTGATGACGCGTTCGTTGGATATATGACCTTGACTTCAACATAGACGCACAGTGAACAAATGTGGTGAACTAATAAGGAAATAATGGGGAATGATACTTTAACGCGTTGGTATTCCTGGAACGGAAATGGTTTGCATGGTACTGGAAATGTGTGAACATAGGACATAATACATTCGGTTCGAGTTTTGACTTAAAATGATTGCAGATGAATAAAAACGATTTTTTTAAACAAATGTGTGTCCGTTTATGTATTCATATCAACAACGTGTTTTAAGCGAGTTTCAGGTGGAGGATCTTCGTCACACATCTGCCCTTAACCGGCAGCATCTTGGCTGTCTCCCCATTAACATGTGTTCCTGGAGGGGAAAGGGCCCCATTATTTATCGATTCACAACGTTACGGTCCCTAATCATCAAGTACACAGGGAATCCTGTACGCTAAGACACGTGAACTGTAACACTATAAACGATAACACGAAACATTAAAATACTATAAACTAGTTTCATCATTTATAACACCAAAAACAGAGGTACGGTATTATAATCTCATTACAAGCAGTAGAATTTCAACGTGATCGTATTAAAATCACACTCTGCGCATATGAATGTATAGCGTACGTGCAAGCGAACTGTGCTCGTATGTACGAATGTAATATGCATCTATGGCCTTTGGACATGCGAACCGGTGGTCGGATATGCGAATTGGGGGGTGCAGGATTATGATCAGATTAAAATGATTATAATAACACTTTGGTAGTATTCGAATAACACTGAGCTAGAATGTATGTTAAATGTAGATGCACATCGGGAGTCGTAAATGCGGCCTGGGTGGTGCCAGATTTAGAATCGCATCAAAATTATTAAAATCGCACCATGGTCGTATTAGAATCAAGCTGCCAACTGCTGGTAGAATTCTACATCGCAATGGCACCGAATAGAACTATACAGTATTGATATTAGGCGTGGAGCCTAAAAGCGCAACCTTGCGCATTTTGACCTGGTTCTCGACGCCCGTCCCGCGCCCATGGTAGAATCTTGTGCATGTCGGGGCGTCAAGGGTTCGCACCACAGCCTTGAAGGATTAGGCAGGTCCCTGGCTTCTTTTGAAGAATTTGACCAGGCTCCAGGCACCGGTTCCTCGCACGTGGCGGATCCTTGAGGCACCCCGGGCCTCAGGGGCTATGAAATTGTGGGCGCCACAACACATTTCCTTTTGGCGTACGGTTTCCGTTGCCGAGCGCCCCACCACGTCGGACACACCAGACTTGGCCTGTACAGGACATGGGGATGAGCTGTCTGGGTGGGGACGGACATAACAACATGCGTACACACTGCGGCCATGTCACCTCTATGACTTCTACCTGTCGCCGCCGTGGGCGGAGCAACTTGGTGGACGTACCCGGTGTCACCTTTGGGCAACACAACCTGTCTACGACCGCTCATGGAAGCACGTGTTCCCGCCGCCCCGTGTTCTTTTCATTAGCGGCTTGCGCTCTGGCAGGGAAAGTTCCTCGTTGTAAATCGTTTCACAACGTTCTGGTCCCAAAACCAGAAGTATACGGGGGATCACCTGTACTCTATAACATGTAAACTGATAACACTATGAACAATAACACTAAACATTAAACGACTTAAATTTTTTTTATAATAGATTCCACCATAAACGGAGTTACGGTATGAGAATGTCATTAGAAGCATTTTAATCGCTCATATGTATGTAAAGTGTACGTTCAATCGAATCGGGGGACGGATATGCGAACTGTGGGGGTTTGCAGGGTTAGAATCGCATTAAAATTATTCTAGTAACAATATGTTCGTATGCGCATTTTACTGTGCTTGAATGTATGTTATGTGCAAATGCGAATCGTTAGTCATAAATGCTATAGGCTGGGTTTAAAAT